AAATTTTGCTCCTTTGTGATGAATCTGTTTAGCAAAAAGACTAAAATGATGATAAGATTGGATTATTGATTGTGTAAAAAAAGCTTCAATTTGTTCACTATCGTTTATTTCAGGTTTAATTGTTGATAAATTCAAACCATGTTTTAATAATGTATGTAATATTTTTCCATTATATGAATGTTTCCATATATTTGAATCTTCTCCACCAAGATCACAAAGTATAGCTGTTAAAAATTGTATTGATCCTAATTCATAAACACGTCCTTTTAATGGATTATCACATTCAGTTAATAAATTTCGAATAAATAGTTGATAATATTCAATATTTGATTTTAAATTTAAATTCATTGCAAATGTACCATGCTTACGAAAAAAAAAACTGAATATTTCTCTTGTCAAAGAATTATTTTATTATCTTACTAATGAAACACTCATCATAAGATAACGAATAAGACCATCATTATAATCACAATACCAATTATTATCATACCATTCTTTTGTATAATCAGTTTTTAATATTGTTAAACGAGCAAGAGCATCATTTAAATGTATTTGATTATCATTCAAGTTAAGACTAATAAATAGATCAAAAAAATATATGCAATAGATTTAATTATCAGTTTTGAATAGACTAGATAGAAAAGTTTTCTTTAGATATTAAGTAATAGATTTAATTCATTTGTCCTTTTCTTGTGGCATTAGAATATCACGAGCATATTTTGAAAATTTCTCCGAATGTTTATTTTTCATGTTATGTACCATTAAGAAAGACTTGTTGATTACATCATTAGAATAGACAAGCTACTCAATCCTTAAAGTAGTAAACATTCTATACGGTTTAACATTCTGCATCGTTGTAAAATGATAAAATAAGAAAAAGTATGATTTCATTGATAATAAATGTCAATCCTTCAGAATATGAAATCAGCAAACTACTAAATACATCGAAAATTTCTGCTGTCAGATACTATCGACAAGAAATTTTCATACTAACGAAAGAACTACTTCAACTGGAATTCATCGTTTGAACTCATATGGAACCTATATGACGATCTCGATAGGAATAGAAAAATCCTAAAAGAATTTGTGTTCATGGGATTGTCAAGTCAAGTTATGACCGTTTTAGTGAATTTTCGATCCATTTTTCAATAATTTTACTGGAAAGTCAAGTGACAGAATTTCAACTTGTAATTTTGTCCATAGATAGGTCTAATGGCCTTTAGAATATTCTGAAAGTTTAAGTCGAAAAGAATGTTTCTTAGTCGAAACTCAACATTTCGACCAAGGAACATTATTTTTGCTGAAATTTTCAGAATATTCTAACAGTCATTTGACCTATATATGAGCTAAATTATAGATCGATATTTCGTTATTTAATTTTCCAGTAAAAACCTGTAAATTGGTGGAAAATTCAGTAAAATGATCATAGCTCAGCTGCAGAGTATGGAGCCTGCCGGGTTGGTCTCGGACCCGATCGGGTTTGGATCCAAAAGTTTTGAACCCAACGGACTATGCTCCAAAGACTCATAGTCACAAACTCTTTTAGGAATTTGGTAGTCTTACCGGGACTACCTTGTGGGTTCCACATGAGCTCAAACAGTGAGTTATAGTTCTGATAGTTTCCTCATAAGATGAATTGAACAAAAATTGTTTCATTTTGTACCTGAAAAAGTAACATTTTTTATATTTTTGTATGTTTCTTATGCTCATTTTGAAAGAAGAATTTACACTAAAATGCTTGATATAAAAATAATATTTTTCTGATTCTATCTAACTTGAAAAATCAATTTCCGAAAGTCATATTCATGAAAATTTACACAGCACAGCATAAAGAATTGGATAATTCAGCATGAAGTCGTTGAACTTCCGTTGGTGCTAAGTAACTAACATATTTATCGGTTTGATTCGTTCCACGAATAAATGATGAAAATTTATGACGAAAATCATGTTTTTCCATATGTACATGATATTCTTTACATTTAACAGCTAACCATTCACGGATGAGTATTGCTGTAGCATAACTCTAAAAGATCGTATTAATTAACTTTGTTTGTATCTCTGCTTTTTTTTTGTCTACATACAAATTGTCCAAGACAAATATTATCTTTAAAAAATTCAAAATCATCTTCATAATGTCGTTCTTTTAATTGATAATTAGGTATCCAATCTTGATGCCAAAGAAATTTTTTTTGTAAAAAATTTTCATTTGAATGATATTGAATAAAAATACATGAATAAAAATCATTTTTTATTATTTCAGATAAATTTAAATCTGTTTGTAAATCAATTGTTTTAGGATATTTATAGATTTCTCCAACTTCTTTATTAATATAATAAAATTCTTTATCTGTTTGTTCCAAATCAAAAAAAAGACAATAATCATTTAAATGAAAATCTGGCCAAATATAATGAATATCTTTCCATATTAACCATACTAAACGAGCAATACGTATAGCATAATCATCTTTCGTTATAGTAGTTTTTTTCCATATATGTAATGGTACCATTGGTTTAAGAATATCAAGTTCAGCTTCGATTGGAACATTTGGATATTGTTTTAGTTTATTACGAAGTTCATTAATATAATGAGATGAAACTGTTTGTAAATGCATTTAAGTATTATGAATAAATATTTTTGTACAAAGTTAAGCGCTCAAATTCTATGTTTATTAAATTGAGTTCAGATTTAAACGAAGTTTATTATTGAAAAAATTAAATGAAGGAAAATTCAATTTTTGACCATATGTAATGATGATAAAAAACAAAGAATATAGGAAAAAAAATGAACGACCACTCCTATTTTCTTTTTAATATTTATGTAGGATAATTGATGATAATAAAAGTATATCAAAATTAGAGTAGAAGCGCAATTTCTAATCACTGTCATATAGATTACACAATTTTATAACGTTAACCGGCAATATGATATAAGAAGCTATTGTTTAGTCGTTAGGTCATAATCATTAAGAATAAGAAGATTCTAAAAAAATCAATATCTCATAAAGGATTTTGAAAAACATTTCTCATGCTTGCCTATAGTTTTATTTTTTTAAATGTCTTACTTATCTTTGAATTATTCAGATGAAAAGTATCTTCTAACTTCTCTGAGCTTGAACTTATTTCGTTACTTCAGTGTTACTCATAAAGAATGGCTGGAAAATGGGGAAGAGAAATATGATGATAGCTGGGCGTTGAAATGCTTATCACGAATTTACTTATTTTTCTTATGTTTTTCACGCGCAATCTTTCATTTAGATTAGTTCTCAGAAAAGCAACTTTTCAAATTTCTATGATCTACTATGTGCAAATGAATTATGTACATGAAAGATAGATCAGTTGTGTAGATAACAGCTATGAGTAGTATACTTTGCAGAGCGACAACATTCTTAACTTTGATATTGACAGTTATGTTATAAATTTATTTAAAGAATCGAAACAGTTGCATATTTTCAGACTCTATGAGGAAAAGCTACTGAATCTAGTAATATCCTAAATAATTCGACGATATGTTTATTAGATTTCGATTATTAAAAAGTGTCGGTATCCAATAAAATAGATCTTGACGACATCTAAGATCAACAGAAGCTGATTTATTTCATTTTTTCCTGAGATGGACTTAGTTAGTGAACTATTATTTAATAGACAAAAAGAAGTACATTTGAACAAATAGGTTATTTCTAAAAAATTTTCGCCACCTGAGTATTCAAGTGGAGAGATTAAAAATCATTATTTTTAATCGAACATTCTTTTATATATGACCTTAGTGACGCATCGATGTTTCAAAGATTTATTTCATTTTTTTGATAAATTTTTGTTTTGTGCCACTTTGAATTATGCCGTAGACAGGTGTCATACTCACACATCATGGCGCTATCGCTATCCATAAAGAAGGTCTGGTCAAAAACCGATTTTTTTTTATCTTTCCATTCTCTAGTTCGATTTTACTCGATCCTGCCCGTTCTCCTCAGCATTTGAAAGTTTTTGAGATAGAGTCTAGTTGTTCAACTATACTATCTTTTTTTCTATCCAACAACAATTCATTAATTAAGTATATGCGAAGAAGAAATGAAATACATACCCAGATCAAGTACGCTTTGTTAGGTTTTTTCCAATCAGATCTTGACAGAACGTTTTTACTAGATTTCGGTGCTTTCGGGCAATCGAAATTTAGTAAAAAGTTAGTTATCGGATCCTTAGAGATTACTACATGTTAGACAAAAAAAGTAAACGATTCATTGTACGGTCAAAGATTTCATTCATTTATAAATGGAGTATCATAGAATTCCTATATGGAATATTTTAAAAATGCTGTTCAAACTTACTTAACACCATAATTTCACAAAAGTTCTTGGAAAAAGTGAAAAGTTTCGTCACAAGCACCAAGATATTCATATGTGTTTGACTTCTATCTTTTCTCTATTCGTTTAGTGGCTAAATCGTCTCTTCTCCCATCTCTCGAACATCCTTCATGAATATCCTCTGGTTTATTGAATTCATTAGAAACGTATTTCAAATTCTATTATCATAATGTACAAATAATAAAAATATATTTATTGATAATTATGAATAAATGAAAATACTATTCACTGAATCTCATTTTTTACAAACATATAAGAATTCATATCTATTTTATTAAATATAAGCATTATTTTCATATATTGTTCTCGCCGAATCAATAAGTCTCTTTAATCTTATTATTCGCAGATGATCAATAACTAATGGTATCAAAACCATAAATCATTACTCCTATTTAATCTAAATATAGAAGTTTTTTTTACATCACATATAGAAATATTTTCTATTTTATTATGCATTTAACTTGTAGAATCCACTCTTAAAACAAGTGTTGTCTTCTACTTCTAAGGAAAAGAAGACAAATATCAAAAAGAAGATTGTCACACACGCATACACACAAATGAGACATATATTCTATATTTCTATTTTATTACGTTGTTGGACAATTATATAAACGCTTCGATGAAAATGATTGATGATTACCATCCTATTTAAAATATTTCAAAATATTTTTAATTAAAGAAACAAACAAAAAATGTCTTACTTCATGATGTGTTGATTTATTATTTGTTGTTAAAAATGATTTTAATTGTTGATGATCATGTAGACGCATACTATCATCTCGTAGATCACCAATACGATCTTGTAAATGACGAATCAATGTACCTTGTCTTGTTTCACTATTATTATTCACAGAATCAGATTCGAATTTGATCTTTCAGAAAAAAAAAGTCAGAGAATTTATTTAAATAGAATTTTTTTCGATTAAAAACCTTTGTAGGTGACCCTAAATGAAATGATGTGGAATCATGAGAACTTGAACCATTTAATATCAAACGTTGTTTAGTCAAACTAAATAAATTTAATAAATAAAACAAAGAAAAAACAATATATATATATATATCAAATTTACGAACCGACTGAGTTCGGATGCAATATGATCTTCAAGTTTTTGTACAAGATTATTAATTGTATCATTTTGTTCGGATGATAAATGAAACGAATTGTAATTATTCTGTAAACGATGATGATCATTATCATATGGTTGCGGTAAACGATCAATATCATGAAAACAATGATCATTTTCTTTTTGATCTTGTGAAAAAGAATTCCTTTTTGATTGTTGATAACAATTTCGATTACTATTACTATCATTATCATACGTTCGATTTGAATAATCTGTTGTCTTAAAACAGAAAAAAACTCTATAATTATTTTGTCCAATAATAAAAATTTTAAAATCATTTACTCGATCCGTTAACACTTTTGATTTACTTGAAAGTTTTGTTCTTGCTTCAATTTGTACTTTTTGTTCAACAATATAGTTTTTAATATCATCAATTGTATCTTGAAGTGATTGCTATGAAAAATGATAAGATGAAATGTCTTTCTATTTTTTGTTTTATATTAATAACATACAAGGACATGTCGAGTTGGTAATCGTTTAATGATTGATTCTCGATCATATGTCAATGATGTCATATGTCTTTAAAAATAAAATAGAAAATAAATTCTAAAAGTCTAAAATGAAAGTTTCTATTTTTACGGAATTTTTGCATAGACATGAGATGGACTATCCATTGCCATGAGCAATTTTTTAATGCAATCATTTATTGAACGAACACAAGTTTTTTCATATGTTTCCAAATTTAGAAATAATTCATGTTGACGTAAAGTTACATCAGCATTTTCAGTTGAAGCATGATCTAATGCATCTTCTAATTGACGAATACGTTCTTGTAGACGAGCCAATTCAGCATTTTTCTCCTAAATGAAATCCATTATTATCATTTTAACGGAGAAAGTCTTATAACTTTTATAGCCAAAAATAGTCGAGCAACACATTATATTTAATCATCTTATGGTTCTTTTTCAAATAAAATTGAAATATTTATTTCTATAAAATGTGTTCAATGTGTAGATGAGTAAGAACTGTCTGAGTGAAGTATAAAGCAGTGACTTATAGCGCTAGATTTATGATACCTTCTGAACTACAATCATACAAATAAATTTTAATAAATCTTAGTTACAAATATCAATACCTTTTCAATATACCTCAACCCATCGATAATGACTTTGTGTTCGATAGGTGAGGTAAATGAGGTGTATTTAATGAAATTTTTGAAGATTAACTACTAATATTTAGATAAAATGCATCTAATTTCTGACTTCATACAGGCACATATAGTTCTTTTCTTAACATGATGATTAAAGCATTGCCCTGAACAGATAAAATCTACGATCTTATAGATGAATAATGTGATGTTTTGTTTAGTATGTTTAGCATACAAATATTTTCCATTACAGAACTTCCTCATTCTCTTTCAAGTCTGAATAAAGTACTACAAATGCCAAACATGTTTTTCTATATGAAAAAATTTATGCGCAAAGGATTAGATGTTTATTTAAGTCTTGATATCCGCAGACATTTTTTTTTCTATTGTCACAGTAAAACTTCAATGAATTGATTGCATTATTAGTTGCATAATTCAATTAGTTACAATTCGTACAATGTTTAAAAGGTATCCATTTAGATAATAGTGGAAATGTTTTGATTATTTTGTTTAATTTCAAGAGCTGTCTCAATGATTTTACTTTATAATAATATGAAAACAAATATTTCTTTGAGAATACATTTTAATTCATGAAAATAAACTGATCATAATAACTTATATTTACATAATTAAGACTCTATGACATTTTACTTCATTATGTTTCCGATGTTCGTTTACGTTTAATAAATAGTATATGCATTAATGATGATTCTGTCATTTCTTATTAAAGTATAGTATAATGAATGACTATTCGTGTAAGAATAGTTAATAATCTTGTAAGAGTGATAAATTTCAATTTGTGTTTCACTGATTTTTTAAATATTACTTAAGATTTTAAAATAGGAAAATTTATCAATCTCAAAACGAATAATTCTATACCATATAATTAATTTCTAGAATTTTTATTTGTCATTCATAGGTACTAGGTACATCATTTTTCTTATTACAAACTTTCATTATTCATATAAAGGACAAAAAAAACACATGTATGACATAATATTGACTAGATCGAAAGTGTATTAACTCTTGAAATAATATAAGACGAAAAAAAAAGAAAATATTTATTAAAATACTGAATCAATTTTAAGATTACTTTTCGTACGCAAAAAAAAAACATAGAATCTACAATTTTTTTTTCTGCTACGTACCGATTGAAATTGATTACGTAGTCGAGTAATTTCATCTTGAAATTCTTTTCGACATTGTTCTTTTGTACCATAGACAGCATTAATACGTTCACGGCCACTGTCTTTTAACATTAATTGAGCTTCACTCGATGCCTGCAATGAAAAGGGCATGAAGAAGAAGAAAAAAAAAGAATCGAGAATATTAAACAAGAAACAAATCATGTTAAATAAATAGAACTTCATTAAAAAAAATCTCTTCTTTTCGATCTGCGCATTTGTTTTTATGAAATATTAATTTAAAGAAGAGAAACTAATTTAGTTTTAAAGTCTTTGTCTAAGAAGAGAAAACTAGAAATCAAAGAACTCTATGACGAACCATTTGTGCATCATATAGTTTTTGTTCTAAACGTTGACAACGTTCTTGTTCAAGTTTTAATTGATCTTGTAAATCTTTAAATGAACGAAATTTTTCCTCTTCAAATTTTGTTCGTTCACCGACTAATAAAAGTTCTTTATGTTCATTCCATACTTTTCGTTCACGTTCCATTTGTTCTTCCATCTGTATATAAACAACAAAAAACAAACATTGTCTTTTTTTTGTTTTTTTTCTTTAAATTGATACAACAAACCTGTGTCAGAGCATTTTTATTAGCTAATTTAAGTGCAATAAGTTCATTATCTTTTCCAAAGATTAATGCCTTCAATTTGGCTATTTCGCGATTTTTAATCTATATATACATAGATAGTATTGTCATGTTCAAAATAGAAACATCTAAACAGTTCTTACAAGTAAACTACTATTTGAACGTTGAGAAGTATTACGAACAAACTTTAACTAAGAAAAAAAAAACAAAAAGATATCAATTAATAATTAATCTTAAATTAAAATCATATATCTAACTGATTGTTCAGTTGAAATACATGTTGAACGTGATAGATCATTTTGCCGATTAGGAAGAACGATTTCATTTCTAAAATAATTATTCTTATCAATATTCAAAAATTCTTATACATAACAAAAACAACAAGAAACAAAACAAACAACTAAGATTATTGATAAATTCTATTTGATTGAATTATATTTAATTATATTACATACCTAAGTTTATCAGACATATCAGTTTTTTGTTTAAGTTCATTTTCTGATACTCGACATCTGTCTTCAAATGTTTGTCGTTCATGTTGTTGTTGATGATGACAAGAACATCGATCGTTCATATTTCGTTATATTATATTATATTTATATTTCCTTCAGTACATTTTCTTATAATCAACATGTAAGAATGGAAGAAGTATTTCATGTATCAATAAGGAGAAGAATGTATGAATTGAAGTGAAAGTATACACGATGAACAAAGAAGAAATCGATATGATGGTGGTGATGGTAATCAAATATTTGAAAACGTGCTGTTGTCGAAATCAATTTCTGTTGATTCTTTTCACAGAATACAACTGCAGCTTCATCGACATGTATATCCTTTCTCTTTCTCTCTTTTCTCACTTCTCTCTATACATCTTCTCTGTTCTTAGCGACCAGACTTTCTCTCATTCTCTTCATCCTTCTTTTACATTCATTTACTTTTTTTGTGCTTTTTTAGAGTGCTACTACGCTCTCATTTTTAAATAGACTTACTTTATACTCAAAAAAAAAAAAAAAAGAAATCCATGTTCTCCTATACTGTGAAACAATACGACTCTAAAAATAAATAAGACCAGACACTTATCTCTTACCTCATATTCAATACAGTCACTCTAGAGAAAAAAAACAAAAATGGACAATGTAATCAACACGACAACTATACAAGAGGTTAGATGTGTTGAAGTCTCAAGATTTGTAAAAAAAAAAACTAGTGAAAACGAAACATAAGCTAAGTACATATTAGTTGTAATTTAATCAAAATATGTCAGATCGGGTTTTTTTGTCTAAGGAAGTTCCCATTGGAAATAATGAAAAAAATAATAAACGAATTTTTCATTGGATCTCAAAGTACTATTAAATATCGATTCATCTTTTTTCTTAGATTATTATTATTATTATTCGTATTATGAGTTTCTGCTGTTTTGCTTCTTTTTCCAGAACACATACGCGCAATGAAATCCCGAAAAAAATGACAAAAAAATGAAGGCAAATGAAAAAAAAACAAACGATATAAATATTATTATCGGACGCGTATATATGAAAAATCTACACATTCAAACAGTGGAATTCATCACCGTCAGATGAGAGACAGAGAGAGAGAGAGAGCAAAAAGATAAACAAAACAAGAAAAAACAAATAGTAAATCACGAGAAAAAAGAAACCTATTTAAATGTAACTCGTTGGCCAGCTACTGTCGATGGCATTATACTTGTTATATCCGATAATGTTCGTCCACGAGGATAATCAATATCATCCATACTACCATGATGAATACTTATTCCACCAAGATGTGGAGGTTCATTATGACTACCAGTACTATCTTCGGGTGTTTTCGTTGGTTCATGTTCATGTTTATCTCCACCAATTGATAAACTTAGTGGTCCGCCAACAATTGTAGTTGTTACAGTTGCACCAGCATGACGTTGAAATGGTTGTATAGAAAATCGACGATTTTTTCGTCTTTGTCCATGTCGTTTAGTTAAATGTGGATTGTCTTTACGCATTGTTTTCGTTTTTAATACATGTACTGATGTATACAAACGTTTCAATTCCGCCTTTAAAATAAAAAAAGATTTTTGTTTTTAATTAAAATTTTGTGCTTTGAAATAAAAATCTTACTCGAATTTCTTCTGGATCCATATCTCGTAAATTTAATTCACCAAATTCTATGTCACCATTTAAATGTAATTTAGTCACAAGATCTGTTGGTTCAACACCATCAGGTACAGAACGAAAACGCTCACGTCCTGAATGATCTTCATTAAATGGTCGAAATATATAGCATAACTAAAATAAAACAAAAAAAAAAAGAAACAAAACGTCCAATATTAATAATTAATTTAAAACAAATATTTTTCAATTTACCTTTGTACAAAAAATAAGTATAAGCATACATGTTACTGTTGAATGACATCGTAATACGGATAAAATAAAAAGTGTATCAGGATCAACTGTCGACCATAAACAATCTCTATCAAAATAATAACAAAAAGAAAAAAAAAAATCTTCAAAAGATATTTTTCTTTTTCAAATTTACCTAATAATATGAAGTAATGTTGAAAAAAGCATTTCACATACAATAACAATTGTTATTAATTTTCTTTCATGATATTCACATGGAGCTGTTCTTGTACTATAGATAAAACGAATACCAACACAAAGAAAAACAAATTCCGCTAAAATTAAAAAAAAGGATGAATTTTTAAATTATATAATAATTTTTGTTTTGTCGAACAAACCAAATTGAACAAGATAATCCCATGAACGTGGTCGACATGTTTGAAAATAAGATCCTTCTTTTCTTGTAAAACCACTTCCCAATAAATATTTTCGAAGTGATATGTTTTCATTTGAATGATCTATATTAACTAATGTCCAACCAAGTAAATAACCAACAATTGATATTGAAATAAAAAATAATATACGTAAAATATCTTTTTCTTTGACTTGCACACAATGAGCTTTACGAGATTGAAATTCGGCTAACATTCTTTAATAGACAAAAAAACAAAAAAAAAAGAATTTTTTCTTTTATACATTATTTTTAAATAAAACTTACTTATAAATACGTAATATTAATGTTCCATAGACAATTGTAAAACCAAGTTCACGTAACCATGGTATTATTAAACAAACGATTCCATGTGCTCCAAAACTATCCACAATAACCTAAAGAATACAAAAAATTCAATTTTTTTTAATCTTATTATTATTTTTTCTTACGGATGCATAAAGTAATGCGGCGCCAAAAAGTACAAGTTCAAGTAAAATCCACATTGAATGTTTAATAATTTTTGTTTTACGTCTTTGAAATACAATAGCAGCGAGTATAGCAACAAAAACAATAAATATTGATTGTATTATTATTATTATTGTACGTAAAAAACGATTATGTTTTAAACGACATGATTCAAGACTACATTCACATGCATTTATCATTGATTTTAATGAATCATCATTTGTTTCATTCCATTCTAATTGATTACCGTTAATTGTTAAATTTTTATTATCATATGAATCTAAACAACGACATTCATAAGCACCTAAAGTAAAACCTTGACCAGCTTGATGAATACACTAATTAAAGAACAAAAATAAAAAGTATCAAAAAAGAAGAATATTAAAAACAAAAACTAATTGTTTACTTCCATTCCAGTAGGACATTTATGTGTACCACCAAATGGTAAATCATTATTGGCACATTGATTTATATCGACAGTTGATATATTAAAGTAAGTGACAAGAAAATAACTATGAAAACACAAAGTATTTGTTATCATTAGATTGTTTTTCTTTCTTTACCTAGTTGTCAATGGAAAAATATGTGCCATAATAAAAGTTTCATTTTTATTTTTTTCACATAAAACAGGTCCAATCCACCAACCATCGTTAATTAATAAATAATTATTGTTCATTGTTTGTCTTAATGTTTCACGTGCATTTGATGGTGTAAATGTCTGTAATATAATATTTACATTTTGTTTTAATTTAACATCATGTATTGAATCATAATCAAATTGATTCATTGTTGTTGTTGTTGCTGTTGTATGATTACTAACACGATAATATTTTAATGTATCATAATAAACATATGAACCAGGACTATTATTATTGTTTGATAAAGGTGTTGCTATCATTAAATTGATTTCTTTTATTGATAATTGACTAGCAAGTAATAAACGTATAGAAATACTAAATTCATCACGAAATTTTGCTAAGGCAAAATCACCTAAATAATTTGATGTTTGATTTATTTTATTACGTATTTTATGTGCTGTTTGTTTTAATGCATTAAATTCTTTTTGAAAATGTTTTTCAACTAAACGAATTATTTCTGATGATAAAGAATTTTCTAATGGTAAATGATATATACCATCTAATGCCATATTTATTGTACAATCAGCTAACACAGATGAACTTGTTCGATGTAATAATATTCGACGTAACATATCTGTATAATGTTGTTTATCATTATTGCGTATATTTATTGATGATATTTGTCTTTTTAAACGATGATTTAAATATGTATTTGTATTTTTTTGTGCAGGAAATAAAATACAAAAAGTAAGAAGTAATAAAAGAAATATGAATAGAAATATAATTATATATGAACGAATATGTATGTTGTTAAATAGTGATTGTTTTGATGTGGAAAATGTTAACATCTTGTTATTATTTCGAAGCTGGATATAAGATGATGACGACGACAATGATGATGATGATGATGATGATGATGATGATGATGATATATGATCATAGTCATCGCGTGAATGATAATGTTGTTGTTCGAATTTTTTCTGTCTCATGATTAGGATCACAATAATAATATTTTCAAGCTACAAGAATGGCAAAAAAAAGAAGAAGAAGAGGACTAGATAATTTAATTGTATTCTATATATGATTTTCTATGCTGTGTATATGTTAGTTATAGAAAAAAAAATGAAGCAGAATAAATGAAAATAAAAAAAACCTAGTAGAAGAATATTTTTTTACTTATATTTTATTATATTGATAGTTTAATGGTAAATAATTACTATAGTAAAACCTTTTAATCTTCGTTTCTGTTGGTATTTATCTGATAAGATGACAATTTTAATGTGACTTAGAGATTAAAATTTATTAATAGAGACTAAGATTCATTTGCTTACTGGCGATTTTGTTACTTTATCCTCATTTGTTCTTCGACATCTTCTTTTCTTATGTTATAGACTATTTCATCTAAACTACAATACACGACTACTCGACATCGTCTCCAACAACATCGTCGTTTCAGAGACTAAATCTGTTCTTTCTGTCTTTCTTCGTCTTTGCCGTTGTCGTCGTCGTCTTCTTCTAATTCTTCTTCTCTTCTTTTCCTGCCCGATGCCCGGGCGCACGCAAGAAGGCTTGTGTTCGCAAGCTCGCCCGATAATTGATCATTTGTTTTTTGACATTCACTTGGCTCTTCGCTCTGAATGCAGGCGTTGAATCGTGTGCGGTGGCAGTAGGTCGTGCAGGTCTCGAGCTATGCTTGTACGTCAAAGTAATCAATATCCGAATTTGCATTTTCTCGTTCTCTAGCTCTGCTCGATAATCATGTTGCGTTATTGGTCTAAATTGTATACTAATAATAGAACTCATTATGTTACACAGATAGCACATGTTTTGTTCTCTTGATTGTCTTTCTGTCTCATAGTTTTGCCTATTCGATTTAATCGTTTTTATTGATAAAAATACGAAAGAATTATCCTTATTATATCGATCAATTTCGATGGATTGAAAAGACATATTCGTCAATATTTATAGAACATCTGTTAGATATAAAACACATAAAATCATAAAAGATGAATAGATATAATATTTAAAGAAATATTTGCTAATAATACGATATACTTAACAAAATGACTTTAAAAATCGGATAAATAGAAAAGAGTAACGAACTAAATAAAAGTTGATAATGATGAGACGCAGAGAAATAAATAACTATGAGAAAGCTCTGATGAAATCTAAGACAGTGATTGAAGATGTAGATGTGTACAGGCACATTAAATAATAATGAACTATCATATATCGTTTTTTTTTATCTATTTGTTTGACTGTAAATATATTATTATTATATACATATTGTGTAGTCAAACTTACCATAAGTGATAAATGTCCATTTATATGCTATAATACTTGTTTATATAAAAGAAAACAAAAACTGAGAACTTATAAATACACATCTAATGTGTTATTATTTTTCTTTCATTTATTTCAAACCCATCTCTTTTTCTTCGCTTGATTTTTCACACTAACTTATTTCTGTCCTTTCTTTCTTCTTCTGCTGTTTCTTTCTTTTTTCTCCTATATGCTTTTGTTGAAATAGAAACGAATGAATACACAGGAAGAAGTATCGTTTTATATTTTTTTTTCACGCACACATTCAGACATAAGCACTCTATCTATTTTTATTGTTCTATTACACACTCTACTATCTAAATTTATTGACAAGCGTATAGTTGGTCGCGCGCTCGCGTCTGTCTTCAGACAAGAGAAGACGGAAAAGAAAACCGAAGGGCAAATTTTTCGCACTCCCTTATGCGTATGCACTAAGTCTCACCGGAATTCTTCAGCGAGAACGTACGGTCTTTCTCTTTCGAAGACGAGTCGAGTCAACACATTACTAGATATACAACATAAATGTAGATTTCATATTCGCCTCGACAAAGAACTTAGTCTCTAGCAAACAAACAAGCAAAAATACTAGAAGCATATCTTCTTCTACTACTATTTCTCATTTTCTTCTGCTTCTTCTTCGTCTTTTCCTTCTTGTTCTGGATTTTTTTTTTTCTTTTGCTTTCTTTATTTTTTTCTCTCTGTTATGAGCGTACGAATGCTTCGGTCAGAAACGACGGTAGTACTTTACTCCTGTTCTTGTTCTTCGACGACAATGACGATAGTAGAAACATCGGTTTTTTTGTCGCGTTCATTCCCGTTTCTTCTCATATTTTGAACAGCATTAATAGCCGCGCTAGTCTTTGGGGTTTCTATCTTCTCCTTCTTCTTCTTCTTCTCTTTCTTTTCTTGTCTGTTTCGACAACTAAACATAAATGCATGCGGTGTTAGTGTAGCCCATATGATGATGATGAGCACTCATCATTGTTGTTACAAAAGACGCTGTGAATACTACTGTGAATACACATAGACACAAGAGACAACTAGCGGAAAAAAGAAACGGGAATGACAGTTCGTATGGTTGATAAACGATTGCTCATTCACTATCATGTTAATAATGCTCGACACATAACAATGGCGTTCAACACTTTCTTTTTTTTTTGTGTCGCAAAATGTCATTCTTCTAGATATGATATATATATTTGGCACTGTCAAGTAGAAGGGAAATAAAAATAAAAACAAGTTGATATCCATATTCATATACAAAGCTTGCTGACATATCTCTGTCGGTATATATACATATGTATTCTTATTGTAAGCTCAGTGACAGATAGAAAAAAACTGACAAAAAAACGAGCTATTCTAAATACGTCCATATGCTTGTGTTTGCCTTAGTGATAGATCTTATGATGCATCTATTGCATAGATATATTGAGAACTTCGAATGATAACGATGTGTGTCAATAGAGACATATCTGTTTCTGGTCTAGTCTAATACGCAGATGTTATCTTTTCTTTAACACTATGCCTATGTATGTTTTCATGATAAACAAGTAATACATAAAATAGGGTGGGAATGCTCAACAAATCTTCTGTCATCATTTCATTGTCATCGCTCAAGAAAGAAAGAAGATGAATGTATGTGTCTATCTACTCAATTTGGCTTTTTTATCTGCACTTGTTTATGATGATTATCGATCGTTTAATATGAGTGAAGATATATACAGATGAATGACAGCATTAAAGAAGAAACTTATAGTATTAATATGAATCTTTTCTTCTCTTGATTCGAAGAATCTATTTATAGTTTTGGCAGTAAAGCATACCTAAGTATCCACTTGATATTTATCTTTTTTTCTTTTTTTTTTGTCGACAAATCAAAAAGAAATCCTTCTTCAAGAGACAGCAAAAGAAGAAACTCATTAGATTTAATTCGGTTGTATCAATGACAACAACAACAACAATATTACTTTTTTTCCTTTTCTTCATTCTCTTTTAAAATCCATTTTCCTATGCGTTCGACCGATTTCTTTTTATACTTGTTATAATAATAGCATTATATTGATCCATGTTAATTTTTTTTTCTCCTGTATATAAAATAAATGATTTTCATGATATTTTGCAAATGCTGACATGATTTAAATATAGATGTGCTTGATATAAATATGATGTAAAAAATGACTATTCAATGTTTTTTTCAATTATATTATTTGTTTTTCATTTATAACAAAAAGAAAGAAATGTAAACAAATTACATCCAAGGAAAAACACTATGAGTAGAATTATTTCCTTGAAATGATTGTTGTGTTGGTCGTACACTTGGATTATTATTACCGGAATATGCGGTACTTGAAAATGAAAATGGAGCAGAAACAGTAGTATTATTATTGTTTTGCCTAGGTGATTGTGGTTGTTGTTGTTGTTGTTGTTGTTGTTGTGATGTTGTTGATCGATATTGAAAAGACATTGAATTTGAAGTATTTTGAAACCAATTAGGTAAACTTGGTGGAGGTCGATTATTAGTACCTTGATGAAATCCACGATTACGACCACGACCTCGACTACGTTCGAAATTCGAATAATTTGAAGAAATACTAGAGAAAAACGAATCAATCAATCAAATTAGTTTTATTCTGAAAAAAAGGTTCCATATACCTATTAGTATTATTATTTATTGTATTGGTCATTTGTTCATTAGTACTTTCTTCGATATGTCTTTTTTCTCGTTGTAATGCTTTAGCTGCACGTTCTTGTTCATCATCACTATAATCAATAGCAAATTTTGGTGGTTCATTATCATCTTCCCATGATGCATCTGAACCTTTCAAGGCTCTTAATTCTTGTACAAAGACATATTTAGTATATGTTGTTTCTTTTGGTGCATAAAAAACTTCTTGATTTAATTCAATTTGGCGTTGATGAATACTATTAACATCATTATAACGAATAGAATAATATGGTTTTTCAACAGGTCCAAATGTTTCAAATATAAGTCCAATTGAACGGCGATCACGATTAAAAAGAACACTATCATCATTTAGTGGTGGTGAATGAAGTAATGATTCAATAATGACTAATTTTCCATCAATAATATGACGAATATGTCCAAGTCGTTCAATAGGTGTTTCATCACTAAGTGTAATTGTTAGATTTTCAATTGGTGGAAGTTCATCAATAACAAGTTCATTACGTGTACGTGGACCATGACGATTACGAAGTGCTCTTTGTTCATCATCATCATCATCACCTGAATCTTCATTGATAAGTGCACTAATAAAAGATGAAATATGATTTAAATCAAAAGAAAAATAATTGATAAATTTTACTTCTTATCTTCAGCTAGAACTGAATCATCGGATGACGATGAACTATCATCTTCAGAACTTGAAAAAATTCGACGTTTCTTTTGTTTTCTTGTAATGGATTGATTTTTTATTTTTTTAAATTTTTTATGATGACGTGGTTCAAGTTTAATTGATATATTTTCACAAAGTGTATTCATAAGATGAATTTGATTGATAAGATCTTCAAGTAGGTCTTTAACATCATGATCAACTTAAAATATATTATAATAAATTAGATATTTTATTTTAAAATCTAAATAAATTTTGTTTTTCTTATTTAAACATTTTCGATATTTCATTACAAAAAAGTAAAAGTTTTGTTTTTGAAATATCATCTATAACGTAAAATCGTCTCTCTATTGTCATAGAAATCCGATATGAATACTTTCCATAATATTTTTATTGTTTTTTCATTATTATTCACTAAGGATGAAGTTTACTTAAGCATATAATGTAAAACAACATATGAATAAGTTGAATAAAATCTCTATTAATAACATATTAATCTTAATAAACCTTATATTAATGCATATTCATCCTTAGTATAAACGATAATAAGCATCTAAATAGTACGTAGACATACAGATGTTGACGATTAAGGAAAGCAATGTTTACATGGTTATAATGCATAGATATTAACAAAAAAAAATCGATTTTATATAGCTGTCTTACGTCGTATTAGACAAGTCTTTGTTTCTATTATTTTCACTATGTTCTACTGACATTTTACAGTTTAAAGCACATATAAAAGAACTTGACCATATTTTCTAATTAAATGATTTACCTGAATAGTTTAAATGTAGATTAGCCATAATTCTTTTAAATCGAGATTGATCTAAAGAAAAATTTGTTTGATTTATTAATAAAAAATTATTTATCTAATACACTTAATTTATTTCTGGAATAATAAAAATCAAAAATTAAAATTTATATGAATAATTAGAGAAAAAAGAAATCTTAATTATAAATATAATAATATCACTGTTTTGTTAATTATTTGTTTTTACAAAAAAAGAAAAATATCAAAAACTGATTTAGTTTATTTATTATTATCATCATCATCATGTCGTCTAGTTGCAAAGCGATTGGTATCCGATGCATTAGCTGGTTGGTTGTCTTCATCATGTTGTCCAACTGAAAAACGACCAGTACTCGATGTATTAGCTGATTGATCGTTTTCATCATCTCGTCTTGTTGCGGAACGATCAGTATTTAAGGCAATCACTGGTGGAATATCTTCGTCATCAGTATTTCGTTTAAAAGCAACACGACGCCTGCCTGATGTACCAGCTGGTTGTCCCTCATCGTCATTTCGTCTAACAGCAGAACGTCGGCTGCCTGACACAATGTCTGGTTGATCATCATTTTCATATCGTCTAGTTGCAACACGATTGGTACTCGATGCGATAGCAGGTTGATCATCATCACGTGTTGGACTTGTTCCACGAATATAATCTGATGATATATTTTTATATCGATAGAGATCTTCTGAATGCTGATCAGAAAAATGGCTAAGATTTGATGTAGCAAAACCATAACTTCGTTTTGAAAGACCTTTTGATGTTGTTGAAGGAACAACAGCTTTACGTTCAGATGCATCTCCTTTACTTGAACCAGAGAAAAGACGTGATACTCGATCACCTATAGTACTAAGTAGAGAACCACCTGGACTTGATGGTGGTGGTGATGGTACTGCTGATGTTGATGCCAATGTTGTATGTCTTAATGCATCAGCCTTACGAGATCTTGATGTAATAACATGTGTTTGTAATTCATTACTTGCTGCATTCCAACGTCTATAAGCAAAAAAAGAATTAGCTAAAAATAAATCTTTATATATTTTAAACCTTTCATTAAATTGATCCGTTTCATAAGTTCCACGAGAGCGTACTTTTGCATTAAGATTATCCATATAAGCTACACGTTGTTTTTGTACAACTGGTGTTGACCATTTTGAACGTGTACGTGCTGTCTCATATTCGTCTTCATCGGATATTGCTGCCCTATACAAGAAAAAACCAAAACATATTTTTCATTTGAAAATATCAAACAAATCTTGTGATTTTAATTTACATCATATCATTTGCTGTATTTCGAATATGATTTTCTGCAATAACACTTCGAATAGCATTAACTTCAGCTATTTCACGATCTCCTGTTGCTTCTTTTAATTGTGTTAATACACGTAATGCTTTACTACCATCAGCAGCTATATAAGTAACTTGTACTTGAAATGGTAATCGTTCTAATTGATCCAAATCAATATGATATTTTTCTTTGACTTCTAAATTATAGATAAAACAAAATTATATTAATAAGTCTATTATTAATATCTATAAAAGAAAAAAAGAACAAACCTTCTTTATTTCTAATACCAAATTCAAATGTAACTTCAGTTTGTTTTGTTACATTTCCAATATCACGTTTTATTTTGTTAAGTTTATCCTCTAAATTATCAGGATTACGAATATATAAACCACGATGAACAATTAATGTTGCTTCAACATTTGTTGCAATAACTTTTTGTTCAAGTATTGATGCAAATTCATCACGCATATTTAATAAATCAACAATTGTTACATTACTGCCTGTACCATCAGCCTACTCATTACAAAAAAAAACGAAACTTTTTACCAAAAAAAAGAAAAACATAATTTAAAATTTCTTCTACCATTTGACCGATCACAGGTAGTAAACAAGCAGTGCCTAAACAATTAAATAATATGATTAAAGGAAAAAAAAAATATTTCTTTAAATAAATATCTTACCTTTGATAGTGATAACGGATATACTGACACCTTTTTCTCTAGCACGTTCGGTTACTTAGAAATAAAAAATATATTTATATATTAATAAAATTATTAAAAAACAAAAGAAAACTGGATCAAATTTACATTCAGCATAAAATTGATTTCCTTCTTCAAGAGCTTGATTTCTAATAGCCTCATCAACTTTTTCATCTTGAGCCGTTTCTAAATTGCCTAAACCTCGATTAGCCAAGCCTGAAAGAAAAAAAGACAAATTTTTTTAAAAATAATTTTCAATAGAAATAAAAAATCTATATTTCGATTTGTTCTTGTCTTACCATCAGTACAAATAACTATTTTTGAACCTTGTCGTTTCGATGCTATATTAAGAGCAAAAACAACAGCTGGACCAAGTGCTGTTTGACCACCTTCTTCAAGATCATAAACACGCTCAGTCAGTTTTGTTTTTGTTTCTGCAACAGGTTTTAATTCATGATTTAATTCTTTTTCAGCTTCATGTAATAAATCATTTGCATTATTTAATTTATCACCACGTATAACTAATGGTTCATCTCTTGTACCATCACCTAAAGATTTATTTCAATCAAAAATAAAAATAAAATCATTCTAAATTAATTACAATACCATAATATGTTATTTCATGATTAAATGTAAGTAATGCTGCACGTCTTGTTGGTGTATCTTTAACAAGTTTATCTAAATTAGCATCAACAGCCATTTGTACACCTTGTAAACGTGATACATATGTTTGATGATGTTGTCGTATCATATGTGCACCACCAAATGCTTCAGCAGCACGTTCTTGTTGTTTAAGTGCCTGAGGTAAATTAAATGTACCTTGAACTAATGTTGTTGATGACATTGAACCACTAATATCAATTAAAAATAAAACTATAGAATCATCAACACCAGTCATATCTGAACCATGAACAACAGGTGCTGGAGAAAGTAAATATGTTGCATCTTCTTGTTTAGGTAAATCTGATTGTTCAATATCAACTATGTTTGTAATTGAACAAAACTCACAATGCCATTTAGATTCTGATTCATTTGATCGATCATTTGTAGTAGGTTCTTGTGTCTCTGTCTCAATTTTACTTAAATGAGAAGTTATTGCACCACAATCTTTACAATAGACAGGATCACCCGCATGCATTTCACCTAAAAAAAAAATAATATGATCATTTCTTTTTCTTTTTTTGTTATATTTTTTTATTACCTGGTTGAAGTAATCGATTAAATTTAACACTAAGAACATTCGTATCAGGTTTACGTAAACGTTTTCGTCTATGAGAGGCTAACGTAGAACTGCCTGTAGCAGATACAATTTGTTGTTCATTTTGTTTTTCTTCTTTACTGAAAATTAATATTCAATTGATTTTATTTTAAAATTATTGAAATAATTCTTTACTTTGCTTTTGGTTTTGGTATAAATAATGGATCACCATCATTACCAAGCGTACCATCATCATCATCAGATACGGATTCTGATTCCGAATGATCATATTTGTAAATATATTTGGATCCAAAATCCATAATTATAAATCAATATCTGAAAGAAAGTATGAAAAATATTCTTTTTCATGAATCTTTGCATTAAAATACAAACAGTAAACTATTAGTTGCAGTCATACGATACTTTACTGTAGACAAAAAAATCTGATAAAGTACGAAATAAATATAACAACATAGAGAATTTGCTTTCTTTTTCTTCCTAGACAATAGTAAAAAAAGTAATGCACATCGTTAGAAAGAGAAATGGCGTCCGTTTTTCTCCTTCGTTCTTCTTAGCAACCGAACATGCAATGCTGAGAAGGAAGTAAAGTCAATACGAAATCATTCAAAAATAACAGAATGAAATCTAAAACAAAAAAGAAAACAATACAATTTTGATTAAACTGTATATTAGTAAAAACTTTTTCTTAGAAATTTACTTTGGTACGATCAATAAATATGAAGCAATGAACGCTAATAGTGCACGTCTCCATTTGAAAATAATGGTTTATAACGCGTCAGTTTTAATCTCACTTATTCATAAGACAGAGTATTTTTATGCATCTTGTTGTTTTACTTAGTGGCAAAAACATTATTTCAATTCACGGTGAACTCATGACGGATTGAGCTCACTCTATCTCAACTCTGGGCTTCACCACTAGTTTTATTCCCATAAAATGTTTTCTTTTCCGTTATGTTTATCATTCTGATTGACTATGTCGATAGAAATGCGTTTAGTGAACAGAAGAAATCGTATAATTAACGAACATTACGATGTAAAATAAAATGAACTAGTTTTATAATCAGAATTTAGTAAAATATAGGATATGTATTATATTTTATAATTAATCAATATTGATTAGATTTGCATAGCTAATGAGGAGATCTCTCAAGGTGTCAAATCGCATTTCAACAGAAACGAGGTTCATTTGATGAAAAATAGAAAAGTCTCGAATGATTTGCTTTCCCGGGTCTTCATTCTTGAAATATCGAAATTTTACTGAGTTTTTAAACGAGAAGCTATAGTCCCACTCAAGTTCGTGGAAAATCGACTTTCGACTTCAAATTTTTCATGAACAAATTTCTCAGTGAGATTAATTGATTCTACAAGTTTTAGCTTTTCTAGTATTTCCTCTCTGAAGATGTAAATATGTGAACAAAATTTGTTTTTACACATAAGAGAATTTCGAATATTGAAGAGGAGATGCTAGAAAAATGACAACTTATCCAAGGAATTAATTTCATTAAGAACTTTATTCGTGCAAAGTTTGAAGTCGAAAATCAATTTTCCACATGATTTGAATAGGACCACAGCTTTTTGTTGAAGAATCCATCTCGAGAACAAAGGTTCGGAAAATCAAACCATTCTAGACTTTTCTATTATTCATCAAATAAACAATGTCTTGATCGAAATCAATTTGATATCTGGCGAGGTTTTCTCATCGGTTAAATTCTATGACAAACTCAAAATTTTTGTTAATAATCCTTGTCGAAATAAACCTTTATGATCTTCTATCAACTAATTTCCTGTATTGGTCTGATCACAAAAAAAAAACTTCGACAATTCAATTATGATGTCTTAGATTCTTTTTTTTTAAATGTATCTAGAAAAATAAATCATTTTCTATTTCTAAAAGATTAAAATGTTGATCATTTAATATTGAGATAAGTTCTTATGTAGTTATTCTCAATCAACAATATCAGCGAAGAATTTTTTATCTTCAAAATTCAGCGAAAAAAAAAACAAACAAATAGATATTATAATAAAAAATTTTCTAACTATTCTTGTCTTTGAAATTCATAAGTATCGTCTCAAGTGATTTGTATTCCTATTTTTTTACTGTATGAAAACGAGAAGTGGCAAGGATAATAAACAAACAAAAAAAAAAAAATAATGACTTTAAAAATGCTACAAGGCTCAAACACAAACATATATAGTTGAAAAAAAATAGAAAGTATAGAGTTGAAACACCAAAAAAAAAGGAACAAAATCTAAAGAAATATTAAGACAAGATGTTCGTTTATAGATAAATTATTCACTTGTTGTTATTATTGAATTCGATGATAAATATTGTTTTGAAAATTCCTTTAATTCATTATCAATATCATCTCCTTGTTTTCGTAATTTTTTTCCTTTATCAATATATTTTAATAATTGATCAACTTCTTTTCTTAATAGTTTCATATTATCTGTTAATTCATCTTTTTCTATATCAACATAACGTAGTGTTTGAGCGAAATACATTGATAATTCTTGTTGTACTTGTGCACTTGCATTACCTGATGTCATATCAACAATTAATTTCATTTTTGATGATGCATAATCAGCATATTGACGTTTAAATGCGCGTTCTTGCGCTGTTTTTGTCCACATTAATCGTTCATATAAATATAAACTACCATAAATACCAGCGACAACACCTAAAACTTTCCAACCAACACTACGCCATATTAATGCGCAACCACCTAATGCAACTAAACCTGATTTTGATGTTAATGCTGATATATTATTTGCTGTTGTTAATAAATCATTTGTTGAATTAAGTAATGATGTTGATGATGTTAATTCATTTATATGTTTTGGTCCTGTTAGAGATTCTTTCTGATTTTGAACAAAACGTTGCCATAAACATGTAAAACCTAATGAAAATTTAAATTGTATATCTTCACGAAAATCTGAACATAAATTTGAACAATCCAAACGATATGAAACAGCAAAATCTGAGCGAGGCACTATTGAATCAACAAGCATTTTACGTTCATTATTTGATAAAACAGATTTAACACGTTCTTTTATTTCACGATGAACACTACTTAATGATGCATATAAAGCTGTATTAAGACGATTTTGTAAATTAGAACCAAGTCGATCTTCAACCCAACGATGTAAATCTCGTTTATAAAGTGGAATTTGTTCGGCATCGGATGAAAATGGACGATCGAATTCTTCAATTAATGTATATAGACTAGAAAATAAATATTAAATTATTCTTCTTAAAGAAAACAAAAATGAAATATTTTGCATGTAAAAGTGCTCATGTTTTAATATATATTTAATCATAAAAACAAATATATATTTTTTTTGTATGAAAGACAATCTTACAAAATTCTTCTATGAACATATTTAATGAACAAGGATACTTGTCTTTTGAAACTATATATACATGTAGAAATAGGTTTTTTTGTTATTGATACAAAAAATAAATATCAGATTCTTCTATGTGAATACTTTTTAATATACAAGCATGTTTCAGATGAATCTTATGTTTTGAATCATTATCAAACATTATTAATATTTGTAGCCAATTCCTATATGGATATCAGAAATATGTAATCAAAGAAATTGAATCTATAGAACTATGAATTGATGCTTCCCATTCCCAAATAGAAAACTCATTTGACTTGATTTGCTCAGCTCTCATATTGGCTGAATGAAAATAGATTATCTCTCTCAGAATTTGTGTAACATTTCAAACATATATATAAAAGAAAGGTTTCTAATTGGCTTTTTTTATTTTGATATTTTCTCTATTACATGAAGCCTTGTAAGTATAAATAAATAGTTCGATGCTTTCTATTTAACCCTTTTTGTATTTTTTTTGTAATATCAACGTATAAGATGGTACGTTTATAGTTTGACATTTATATATAGCAGTTTGAAGCTAATGAATTTTTTTTTTGATTTCTTCAATCAATCCAACAGATCAGCGACTACCTACTAGTAACGATACACCAATTCCTAGAACATGATATCAAAGATGACATTTGCTCCTTATTAAGAATGTATGTCTCTATGGATTGTTTATATCAATTATGATTGCTCTATCCGAAGTTGTAGGCGAAACTTATGACATACAAAATGAAGGTTTTGGAATTGATGGAAAATTCACATTTTTTAGTATTTTTCGGCCAATTCCGAAGCTTTTGTTTTATATCTCATGAGTTCCGACCAGGAATCCCGATTAAGAGGGAAGAGCGGGAAGCGGCTTTCCTCCTTTCAAAATTTCAGACTTTCTGCCATAATTTTTGATAATACTTTCTGCGAAAATTTTAAAGGTCAGTTCAGCAGAAAGCTCCTGCATTTACTGGAATAAAATTAAATCAAAGATGCTTTCTGCCAAATTTCTCGCAGAAAGTAGACTCTATTTCTGCCAAATTTCTCGCTGAACGTCGACTATTTCTGCCAAATTTCTCACAGAAAATCGACTCTATTTCTGCCAAATTTCTCACAGAAAGTCGATATTATTTCTGTCAAATTTCTTGCAGAAAATCGATGTTGTTTCTGCGAAATTTCTCGGAGAAAGTCAACTTTCTTTGCAAAAACACCACACTTTCTGCCAAATTATTAGCCCCTCTCCTCTCCCCCCTCCGCTTCCAAAAACAATCGTGAATCCTGATTCCGATTACAGATTTGGATGGAGCATAAAAACACCGATCATGATTGATATAAACAATCCACAGGAACTACATTCTTAATAACAATAAGAACGTGATCTTTGATATCATGTTCTAGGAATTGGTACATCTCTACCTACCAAGAGCTAATAGCATACTCTACAAGTTTATCCAGATAGTAAACAGTAACTTAGTTAATTGAAGAAAAGAAAAAATATACAACTATTCTTTTGTATCAATTGTTATTCATCCTAAATTTTCAAACATGTTTTATAATTAATTCAAATCACGAATATAAGAATATGTCATGACATTCAACAATAAAAAACAAATCATAATGTCGTATCATTTTCTCATTTTGTTTTTAAGTAAAAGAAAAGTTCTGTATATTTGATTCATTTTTTTTTTGTTATTCTGTTAGATAAACATACCGTTTAATTTCATCATTCAATGTTTGTGCAACTCTTTTATAAACATCTTCAGATATATGTCGAATTTTTTCTTTCGCCGATTCAGTCATTGAACGTAATTCATGTTCAAGTAAATTATTTTTTTCATCCATTTGAGTTAAGTTTTGAACAAGTTCTTGTTTTAATGTTTGAGATTTATTTGCTATATTAGCTGTTGTGTCACGTAATAGGGCTATAATTTCTTTGCCTCGATTTGTATGTTGTTGGAATTTAGTTTGAACAGCAGTTTTTGAAATACATTCTTCAAATTCATGTTCAAATTTAGTAAATTCATCGAGACGTTCTTTATAGCCTAAATAATAATAAAAAAAGAAACAATTAATTTCATATTTAATTTAAATAATTTTACCTTCATTAAAACCAGTTCTTGGTGAAGCTGTTGGATCTTTATTTCGACTTAATAAAGCTTCACGTGCAGAAATAAAAAACATTCGATGTTCGGAAGCTTCTTTTCGATCACATAGATGTAATTCATCACATAAAAATTCTAATCCACGATCAAGATGTTGTTGTTTTACCTAGGAAAGGAAAAAAGTAGAACCCATAAAATAAACATTTCAAATTTAGAAAAAAAAAGAACTATTCTTACAGATTCAACTTCGTCTGGTTCATATGCAGTTGCATCCCATCGATTCATTAAAATAAAAATGTTCGGATTTGATAAACGTTGTGCAACATTATGTAGAAATTTTTTCTCCTAAATTTCATTGATTTTCTTTCATTCAGGTTAATTTAATTCTATTTAAACTTACAGCAACTGTAATTGTTGCTTCAGCTGATACAACAAGCACAAATACATCAGCATCTAAACAATGATCTTCAATCCATTGATCAAGATTGGCTGATACATCAATGCCCGGACTAGAAAAAAAAAATAAACAAATTAAATTTAAACAAATAAAAAGTTTTATTCTACCTGTCAACAAGAACAACATCATCTCGAATAAGACGACATTTTTCTTTTGGCCATAAAATTTTTACAAGAGAATCTGAATCCAATTTTTCTCTTGAGAGAGCACTGCCGACATTACCCAAACTCTAAAAGAAAAATATTTCGTATATATTATATCAGTTAATATCATCAAATTAACAAAGCTGATCAGAAATGTAATAAACACAATGATATTTTATCGATTTCATTTTTATAATTATTTATTTGAAACGTTTCATAATAAACTGTTCTTATGATAAGTCAATTTATATTTAGCATAAGTAATATCAGGACTAACTGAAAGCGCTCAAATACAAATATTTTTCTTAGGTAGTCTCTCGTTTTGGTTCTATTCGATGATCTCTCACTTTGGTTTGTTTCGACTGATTCTTATCTTAGCCATGATTCATCAAATCAAAAGGAAATGATAAGTCTTCACTTATATTCATGATTAGTCATTTAAAGGATTCATTCTCGAATGATCATTGGTTGCGTAGAATCCATATGATCATCCGACTTAAACTAAATGATATGTCACCGATTATTGTTGAGATACATATAGTGAACACGAAAAGTGAGCAACAAGTAACATGCACTTCACGAGTGCATCTCTGAATGCACTATTACTTAATTATCAAGATTTATAATTAGCAATTTAATGTGGCAAAGCCGTAAAAATAAATAACTTAATTTTTTTTCATTATATATCTAGCGTTTTATACTATTCTTGTTATTCTTTATTCTACAAGTTATACTATACTATTTTTTAAATATAATTATAAATTATTTTAATTGATAATATTAGAACCAAACTGAGAGATCATCAAATGAGATCGAAACAGGATGGGATCGATACGGAGATAAACCATTTTACTTTTTCATTCTGTATACAATCTAATTAGCCCGATTTTATCTATTTTAAATTTTTTATTGAGTATATATTTAGACTAACTATGTAAACAAGGATTTACAAAACATGTCAAATACATAAACAAGATGATCAGATCGATGTCGATCATTGTATTGTTCAATATATGAAATTATTCTATCCTAAAAGTTATTTTATATATATATATATATTACAGAGAAAAATAAAGCCTTAAAACAATTTAAAGTTCTCCGTAATAATAAAAATCACACCGATATTTCTATTTTGAGGTATTTTATATTACTATATTGTCTTTCAAAAATATCATGTTTTACAGGGAATCGAGTTGATAGAGAATTGACCAAATTATGCACTTTTAGAATCTGTGGAAGTCACTAAGTATTTGTATTTTGTACAAAACTTAACATATGCCACTTCGCATCACCAGTAGTTTTCAAGACCTATTGTTCAGAATAATTTTAAATTTTATTAGAAATGCTAGGGTTCATTTTAATATAAACTGCAAAGAATGAAGATGAAAATGAAAAGGAAGATCTATCTGAAGATAAAGGCTAACTCATTTGAACCATAGTTCTTTTCTGATACAGTTAGAATATTTTATATACTATTTAAAAATAAATTTAATAGTTTTGAATAAATCCGAATAAATTAAATTCCAATAGCATCGTGAATATAGAACATAATATCATATTATCGTTTATTTTAATTTTTCTTAACAAGAAATAGAAATAATGATATATATTTATTGTTATTACTTCTGTAATCTATTCATAAATTAGAAATCATCATACAAAACTCCATCTACTTACGGTAACACTTTTTGGTTCATCTGATCCCGGTGTAAGGACATATGGTTCAGCTTTATCTGTTCCTTCAATCTAAACAGAAAAAAAAATGAGATCAATATTTCATTCAAATATATCTTTCAATTCATTATACTTGAAGAAAACAATTTGTTGTATGTCCCATACCAACTGGTAATATTCTTTCGCGTAACATAGCATTGACAGTTGTACTTTTACCATTACTTGTTCTAAATCATAGAATTTAACGAAATTAAAAAGAAAAAGAAAAATTTGAATTAATTAACCTTCCAAAAAAGACAACTTTCATATGATCACGTGATATAACAGACAAGATACGATTAACTTTGTCTTTTAATTGTTGAATATTTTTATGTTTATCATCGGCTATTAAATTTCGATCAGATTTGCTCACTTCTATTAAAATACAAAAATTTTTTTTTTCGAAATAAAATGAAATAAAGTAAACAGACCATCTAAATATTTATTTGAATCATTAACATATGATGCTATGTTTTTAAATATTCCAGTTATTGTTGTTTTAGCATGAGTAAATAATTTTAATGGTGAATGATCATCTTAATTAAAAGAAATATTTATAAATTCATATATTTTATCAATTTTATTTTTACTAATTACTTTCACTGTTTTGACGAACAGGTCCAAGTGATGTCGGCTTTTCATGAATAATACTTCCTGACATAATTATTTTTCTAAAATAAGAAAAGTCGAATTAATAATAATATATTCATTTTTGTTTTCTACTTGTCTAAACTGTGAATATCTAAAGAAAAAAGATCGACTGTCGATAAAAATAGTAAATCAAACATTTAGAAAGAAAAAAAATATTAAATTATAGCGGGAAAGAAAAAGAGTCAATGGGAAATTTTGTACAAAAAAAAATCAATGATGTTTAGTTTTTAATAAATAATAAAATTTAAAGATTTCTTCGAAAAGTTTAAAACAAAACTTTTTCACAAAATGATTATTCTTTAGTGTGAAAAAGTAAAGAACATGTCGTGAAATGTACTAGATGACTCACCCTTCTTCTTTAAAAACGAACAAAAAATTTATTTACTATTCTTATGATAATATACTGTTTCCAATGGAAATCTAAAACAAAATGTATTCATATACTATACTTATAAAAAGAATGTGTTATGTTTACACATTCTTTTCACTAACAAAGTCTAAGAAAAAAACAAAAGTCTTACAATCTTAAAAATCAAAAATTATGATCGTTGTTTTTTTCTTTAATGAAAAATTAAAAAAAAAGACACTTAGCAAGCTATTAAACAGTAAATCTATGTGCTAAACTTATAATCTGACGTACTTACAAGAAAATAAATACCAGAGATGGGATCAATTCGTAATTGTTTAGAATAAAACGGACTTAGATATATAAAAAGTTCTAACCGAGTCGATCCTAGCTCTGATACACATTAGTTTATGTAACGTAGTTAAACTTATTTTTTCATGTGCTTTACAGGAGCAGATATTAAAATGTGTTCATATCACATGATTTCATTGCTCAAGAATTTCATGTGCATGAGAAAAATAAATTCTACTAAAACAGTGATTAAAATTAATAAATACATTTTTCTGAGTCGAACTTTTATTAGCGAAAAAGAAGTTCGATCAGGAAAGTGATTGATACTCATGAGTACATTTGTTTTTGCGTAGAATTATTTTTGATTCATACACATATTTCGAGAAGCGTCCATATCACATGACTTTTTTTGCACATGAACTTTATGTTCATGAGAGAAAAAAATTCGACTAGGCAACATAGTACACTCTGTTTTTTCTGATTAACACGTGAAACAGTGTATATTTCAGATGTAGCAGGTGTTCTGTCTATATTAATTCTGTTTGTTACAAGTTCTATCAGAAGTATTATTCAAATGCACTCATTCATTCATTAAATATCTTCACCAATGAAAATCTTCAATTTCCTCTACAATGCAAACCTACAACTACGCAAATAAAAGAAAAAAAAACGAAATGTATCACCAATAATTTTTTATTTGATTTCAATCATCCAATCAGAAAAATAATCATTCAGAGGCCGCTATTGTATATATGTCTGTTTCTATGACAACAAATAATACGATTATAAGTCATCATAATCAATCGATGGCAACTACTGGTACAGGCCAAGGAGGAAATCAAAGACGACGTTTACCAAAATTAACTGCAGCTGAACCAGTTGGTGAAAGTAGCAGTGAAACACCACGTACAGTAACTAGTGATGAAAATGCTCGACAACGACGACGAGCTAAACAACGATTAACTCATCAACAAACACCAAATGGAAGAGAAACAGTTTCACCACCAGTAGCTAAAGAAGTAATTTAATTCTTTTTATTTTTTTTTTTTTTAGATTTAAATTATTTCTTAGTACAATATTTTTTTCAAATTCTAGCTTCCTTTACCACCTCGATCAAATCAAACAGATGAATCTCAAACAACTAAACGTCGAAAAGCTCGACGACGCGTCAAATCATCGTAAGTTATATTTAGTTTTCAATCTATTTAATTTCTAATAATAAATTATAGATCACAATTACGACAAGAACCTTCACTTTTACATGGCTTTGAAGATGAAGTTGTTATTGAAAGGTCTAGAAAATCCAACGAAGCAGTTTTACCTGATCTGTTAATATCAAGTGCACATGCTGGTAGTACACCATCAAAAAGTGCTCCAACACCTCGTATTTATTTTGAAGATAGAAGTATTATATTCTTTTAGAATTATTGAAAAATAATTATTTTTTATTTTTAAGAAAAATTTTCAAGTGTAAATAAAGAAACTGCAGAAGCACGTTTAGGTAATAGAGCAGGTCAACCACCATTTCAATTAGGACATGTTGATAATTATACAATTCAACAACAAACAGCAGAAGTTTTAAAACGTTATACAGTTCATGTTGCTAAACAAACTCATGCAGCTTTTCAAAAATTTTTTCTTTTTATACATGGAATTAATTCTGGTTATGCATTATGGATATGTGTAATTGCATTTGTATTTACACAAGAAAGGGCATTCGATTTTTTTTATGTTTATCGATCAATTGCATTGATTACACATCTTTTATTTTATCTTTTTCTTGCCATATGTATGGTTGATGTTTTAGATCGGTAATTAAGCTTTAATCTTTTTTTTTTCTTTTCGTTTTTGATAATTAAAATATATAGCAATCACAAGAACCCTACTACCGAGTAATAAGAAGTCTTTTGCCTGATAGTTTGACTACAAATTGAACTCGATAAAGACTGATCGCAGACAGCAATCGAAGGTCGATAGGTATTGATGCAAAGGATTTACAATGAAAACACTGATTTTTTCCTTAGAACCCCAAACAAGACTTTTCTGACTTTCCACAATTTAAATTCGTTAACTTCCATCTTATTATTAACAAATAAAGATTCATATGTCTATATTGTATCACAGATAGGGTACGTCAATCCATTGTAATGTTGAAGTGCAGGAGAGCCTTCATTGTCTGGGATGGACTTAGCATGGATCTCTTCTCAATTAATAAATGCAATCATGAAATTTTCAAGAAAAATTTCATTAGAGTAGAACACTCATTGTAGAAAATTTCAAGGCAAATGATTAAAATTAGTCGAAGATATAAGTCACTTTTCGGCAATTCCCATCAACTCTCATGTGGAAATTACCCAAAGAATACTCCATAAATCAGACAAACTAAATCTTTTTGACATGGAATTTTTATTCTTAACAGAGGTAGCACTGAGCTATCGAATAAGAAATCTAACGTTATGAGATTTATTTTTCTATGTTGAGATATCCTCGCCTGAAGAAAAAATCTATGTTGACCTTCTAGCTGTTCCGTATGAAGGTCATTCAAGTCTTGACTAGTTCTTTGCGATCAGAATTCAACATTCTCTATTTGTGATCAAACTATGAAACTAAAGGATTAAAGTTTAGGTATTTTTTAACCTGATAATGGGACTTTTTGCGACTATTGTATACAGGTTGGGTCATAAATAGCACTACGATAAAAAAAAAATTAAATATCTCCGCGTCGGTTCAATAAAATGAGCTGATTTTTTTATTTGTGGTAGGAGTGTATTGAACGTTTCTTTTATACTGTTAAAGTAAGCAAATATTATTATTAAGTATTATTATTATTATTGGTATCATAACAACAATTTTGCTTGTTATCAAAATAAGAAAAATACATATGAACCATTTCATAGATAATTTACAGTTGTCATCTAAGAGAATAATAATAAGAAATCAAAAAGAACTTTATACAATATACTATATTGATACACGTAGAGCAAATTGCCGAAACTAATTAATTTAAAAAGTCAACAATTACAAAATTTCGGTTTTTTGAAATATGGAACACTAGTTTTTGCAAGAAAGTTGGTGTTTTAAATGGTTGCAATAATACATTTTAGTTAGGAGACAAGGATTTCAGCTTTTAAACTGACTAGTTTTGAAAACTTGCACTATGTGTATTAATATAGTATCATTCGTTAAGTTTGATTTGATTTATTATTATTTTCTTAGATAACAACTGAAAATTATCTATGAAATGCTCCACATGTATGATTTTTTTTACTTGACAATAGGCGAAATTTCTTTATAAAGGTCAAAAATATACCTTGACTGTAGTATTTGTTTACATTATCCGTATGAAAAAAAAACCTTTAAATAGGTTTCTACCATTAACAAAAAAATCAGTTCATTCGAGCGAATCGAGTCAAAGATATTTCAATTGCTATCTAGAGCTCATCCTATATTTCGCTATTTTTTGTTTTGCTTTAGAATCGATCCTGTCAAATTTAATAAAACAGTACTTTTACAATCGATTACTGCACAAAATAGTGCAATAGCTTTTATCTTTTATGGTATCGCTATGGTTGTTAATTTAGTTATGATGCAAACAGAAGATCATTTACGTATGACTCAATATACATCAAATACTACAAATCAAATATATTTTAATGTTGTAAGTTTTGTTACATTATTGATTTCTATGAAGTATTCTGTTGTTTTTCTTTTGAAAAGACTGATGTAGTAAATAATCAAAGTACGACATGGAAAAATTTAACAGCAGTTCGAGCAGCATTTATTCTTGTTGGATGGATTATTGTTAGTATACATGTTAAAAATGATCGATTAAGAACAATGATTCAAGATACAGAAGACAAAGCATTTTATGAAGAATTACAAATTGAACAACATACTGTACCACTTGTTACTGGAATGAATTCTCCTTAATTATGTTTTAGCTATTTTGTTCCTTTTTTTTCTCTTTGATTACAATAAAATATAACATATAGGGAAAAACTAGTTTGAATACTGTTGTTTATTAGAAGAATCTGCTATTTGTGTATGTGTTTATGTTTTTTTTTTCTTTTCATTCTAATAAAAACATTTTGTGTAATTACATAGAAATATATTTTATTTGCCTCGATAATGTTTCATTGATGTTGGTTGAATTTGATGATTATGATAATCATAACCATTGTTGATATGATATCGACCTTGTGCATCTAAGATATAATGTGGATTTGATAAACTATGTCCCCAAACTAAATTATGAAATGCACGTTTACCAATACGTGGAAAAAAAACACTTCGTTGTTCATTCCATCGTAATTCATTATCATAATTATTTTCTTCATTATCTTCAATGTTTGTATTTGCATCAAACATAGAAGAAATATCTTCTGTATCAGATAGTGAACGACCAATACGTGGAAATTTTGTTGAGCGAAAAACACGATCATAATATGAAGGTATATTCAATCCAAATTGTTGATCGGTAAGACTATTTCTTAAATCATCCGATTCTATAACATAGCTACACTAAAAGAACAGAAATTTTTAATTTATAAAAAAAAAAAAAAAAGACAAAAATTCAAATATAAATTTTTCTTACAGTCGTTGTAATGAATAGTACCATTAAAACGTAATAGCAAGAATTGATAATTGTTGATGAAGATGAGATACACATTATTGATTTGAAAATTCAATTAATAATTTTTTAAATATGCAGTTAAGTATAAGACGCAATAAATGAATAAAATATAGCAGATAGTTATGAAAGAAATAGATTTGTATGTTCACTTGTTTTTGTTAACCTTTTCAATGTGCTTTCAAGTATTTATGTAGATCGAATACTAGAAAAGTGTGGGAGTAAATAATGATCTATAGAAAATTATGACAATGAAGAAATAAGCAAAAAAGTATTAGCTGTATTTTTTCGATAAATGATGAAGAAAGTATGAGAACGATAGAAAAAAAATCTATATTTGAAATCGGAACAGCAACCGACTACGTACAATTCATCGTTAGTTACATCGGAAACACGACCGCACATAAGCAATTTGTTGAATCAAACGTAATTTTTCATTTCCGTAGGCAGTAAATTTGTATTAGCCGAATCACTCCAATCACCATCATATTCAAATAAACATTCATGACTTCTTTTTTTAAAAATAGCTATCAATCAATTAATAAAAAATTCGAAAAATACTATGTGTATCTTTGTATAATTATAGATTGATAACTACATAAAAGCTATTCGAAGACAAGTATACATATGCAAATCACTTGCAAATTTTTTATCTTCAAATGAACAAAAGAAAACATTTTTGAGATGAAAAACAAAAATTAAATTCGAAAATAAAGAAAACAAGACCTATTTAGCGTATTATTTCATCTATACAAAGAATGAACAAGAAAAAAAATGAACAAAACTCATGATTGTTCAAACGTATTTTGATTTACTATCAATTGAAAATATCTTTATGAAGACAATGATATGCGTGAGTCAATTTACTAAATATTCTTCTTTTTATGGAGACTTTATGATTAAGGTACGCGATTTTTTTTTTTGATTTATAAAATTAGTGCATTTCGTCCATATAGCTTAATGATAATATCATTTTATTTTTTGCTAGTAGGCACATATATGAACTCAAACAAACAATGTTTTATTTTTGTAAATGCACTCGAATTTTAATATTCGACAATGAAAATAAATCAATGGATGAGACAGCATGAATAGCCTTCACCAATCGAAAGAGAAAAGGCGCGAATAATATGTGATAAAGTTATTGATCGATTATCAGAGACAGACATAGATGCGCGACGAAACAACAAGATCATTCTGATCAATTAAGTTGTATCATAAAATAATGTTTCATTATATATTGTTTTAATTTTTTTTTATAGCAGATATATTCGTATCCGTCTCGTGTTTGTTTTTTTTTCTGTGTTGATTCACTAATGAGATTCTTCGCACATTTTAATATGTGAAAAACTAGACATCAATTCTTCCTTTGATCGATTCAAATCATCAACCATAACAATCATGCTCAAACTTGGTTTTACCATGGAAGAATTGATGTTTCCAGAAAACTATCAATCTAATTTTCTTTTTAATATTGAATCCAATTGTTTGGTGAGAACTTGATAGTGTAAACTTATTTTTTTAAGAAATCTTATTTTTTTTTATAGTTAGATAGACTTATTAAAATGTCACCTGTATATGATTATCAAGAACCGATAACTATAGATGATGATGATGATGATGATGATTGGTTCACGATTAAACAACTTAATCCTGGTTAGAATATAGAAATATGACTTTTTCTTTTACTCATTATTCTATTTATTTATTAGAAACTTTGTCAAATAATAATACTATGAGTCTCATAAATGATCAAACATTACCCGTATTCGATATTTTCTCGGATAATTCTTATCTCAGTCAAGTAAAATCAATGGTTGAACTTGATAGTACTATTACTGCTTTACTTTTACCTAACCTGTAAGTTATTGAAGAAAGATTTATAGAAAAAAGAAATTAAATTCAGTTCTGATCATAGATCAATTCAAGTTGCTCATGATAAAAACAATACTTCATTAACATCAGACGCAGTTCCAATCATCTCTTCTCCATCTCCTGGTGATCAACGGTAAAAAGTTTTAGTTAATATCTATCAAGTGTTTTTTATCCTTTATCTTTTAAATAGATTATTGACAACAACAACAGCAACTACTACTACAATTACTCAACAAAAACCACAACAACGATCGAATAAACATATGATGTCTAAATCAACTTCATCGTTATCTTTTTGTACACATTCATCAACATCAATAACGAATAGCAGTGCTGATGAAATGAATTCAAATTCAAACGATTTAAATGACATAACAAGCATACATCATTCTACTGAATCTGTGCAACAACTTTCTTATTATCATAAAAATAATAAAAGTACAAGTGACGATTCATTAAATATTGGTAATAGACGTCGTCGTAAAAGAACTATCTTCAGTGCAGCTGATATTGAACATCTTAAAGAAGCATTTATTCAAAATCCTAAACCAAGTCGTAAATATTGTTCTATTTCTTTTAAAGATAATTATTAGCGAAAAACAAAACTTTCTTTGTTCTAGAACAAGATATTGCTATTTTATCCGAACAATTAGGTCATGATTCTTATGTGATTCGTGTATGGTTTTACAATAAGCGTCAAGCAACAAAAAAACGGAACGAATAAGACGATATTGAAGATAAATCTTTTTTATCAATATGATTTTTATTCCAGTTTCAAATAAAATTTATTCACCTATATATTCTTTAAGTTCTTACGAGAAAAAAGCTAACCTATTGTTGACAATCGAATATTTATATTATACTAAATATGCTTTTTGAAGTTATCAAAAGTAGGTATTTTGTAGATGATCGATTACATTAACTGATGATGAACGAATTTCTTTTTTTAAATGGAAACTATAGATACATGTGAACGAGTTAGAAAACACCAAAGATACTGAGAAGAAAACATGCTGAAAATCAGAAAAGATCGGATCTATATCAAGAAACGAAAAAGTTTGGAAAATAACTAAAAGAAAGACACATGTATATTGTACTTGCCATTTGTGCAACAGGATTAACAGAAAGGACCAAGAAAGGAAATGTAAGATATAATTGAGTTATAAACTGTAACGACAAACTGAAGCAGGAGCGTACCGTCGCCCTCGGTAATGATATTTATTGGGTTACTTCATATTGCCAGAATGTGAGTACTTCACAAACAACACACGCTTATATAGGAGAGAGCCAGAGAGAGAGATGAGTACAGAAAAGAATAATAGAGATAAAATAAAGAAGAAAGGAAGATCAGTGGGAGGTGATATCAATATCGGCATAGCCTCCCACTCATATTAGACGCACTCCTGAGCGTTTGTACAATATAGACAAAAGACCCAGGATGAAAAATCCGGAACTCGGATTCTGTCGGATCCGACTATTTCCGACAGTTGGATCCGTCAGTTGGATGATGTTGGAAAGTACAGGACCTGATAGGATTCTGTTAGATTTCTATAGGCAAACCAGATATTATCTGCAACATTGATGCTTTATTCATGAGCTTTTTATTTTATAATGCGCAATATATACATCTATGGAGCTGATTAGTCTGACTAAATGCCCAGTTACTTTTTTATCACACTGTTTCTATAATGTATGAGATAAATATGATCTTTTTATCAGTTATAGTACTGCAGAAGTACTATAACTGATAAAAAGATCATATTTATCTCATACATTATAGAAATAGCATGATAAAAAAAGAATTGGGTCATCCGACTAGGTTAACCAACGCCATTCCATGTCATTCACGCCGGCCGTAAATAATATAAAGTTGTCTATTTTTTCTAAAATAATACTTACCTTTCCTTTTGTTGCTGAGATTGATCTAAATAAAAACAAAGAAAAATTTATTTATTTAAATAAATACATACTGTTCATTTCGATGTTGAGATGAATCGAAAGAAAAAGATTTATTTGTTTAAATAAATACTTATTGGTCTTTTTGATATTGAGATGAATTTAAATAAGAAAAAAAATTTATATAAATAAATACTTGCTTTGTAATAACTTGTGGTAATCAAAACCAATTGTAGAAAACCATCGATTGATCGCGGTGAACCGGCGGTAATTTAACAAACTTGCATGCGATGTTATCGGATATTGTCGGATTCGATAGGTTCCCAGCTGTCTGATAACAACGGATCCTATTATCAGAATCCGATGATATCTGACTGTCGAAAAACGTCGAAAACCAATGGATGTAACTGGTTTTCGACTATCGGCATTCCCGTCGGATAATATCGAATTATTCATGGATCCGATAGGATCCTATTGGGCATTTTTGACCTGGACTGTTAATTTTGGCAAGATCGAACTTTGCACTAAGAGATGCAAGTTTGGTTGACATGGTTGTCATTTAACGACGGGCTCCTTGCCAAAGTCGATATGTAACGACAAATTGGGGGGTAGCTTACTGCTTTACTCGGTAATGATGTTTATTGGACTATTTCACATCATCTGAATGTGACTATTTCACATACAACACACGCTAACATAGAAGAGAGCAAGAGAGAGAGAGAGAGAGAGAGAGAGAGAGAGAGAGAGATATGAGCACAAGACAAAACAATAGACATAAGATAAAGAGGAAAGAAGATCAGTAGGAGGTGATATCAATATCGGCACATACACTACAGCAATGAATCTTTTGCAAAAATAGTGATATATAAGAGGGCGGAAAAAGTTTAACAACAACATACTTTTGATGTTTTTTCTGTAATGTTAAGCAATTAGGTGAAATTCAGATAGTGATTTTAATAGCCAATAGAGTTTTCTATCTAATACATTCTATACCAAGATTTCATAAACGAACTATGATTGCAAGGTTTTAAAAAAAAACCGAACACAGTAGCTTTCAGGTCTTAGAAAACTTTGTCAGAGCTATTTTGAAAGAGCACAAAATCACGAACAAAACGGTGGATTACCGAATTTTCTACGACGTTTCTTTAAAAAAGTTAAAAGTATCGCAAAAACCATTAAAGAAAACGAATTTTAATATAAAATCGCTAAAACATGCCTTTTAGTAGTTTTTATGATACTGTTAACTTTTTAAGAGAAAGTCGTAGAAAATGCGGCGAACTCTCATCTTGTTCAATATTATAATATTCTTTAGAATGGTATTTTTGAAAAATAGCTCCGAGCAAGTTTTCTAGGATCTGAAAATTATCGTATTTTGGTTTTTTATAAACCTTGTCATTATAGTTCATCTATGAAACCTTGCTATTGAATGCATTATATAGAAAATTCTATTGAATATTAAACTCACTATTTGGATTTGAGCTAATTGTTTAACATTATAGAAATAAACCAAAAATACGTTTTTGTTAAACTTTTGATAATTAGAATTATTCATTGTTTGAAAACGTAGATAGGAGAATATCATATTAAATTGAATGAATTTTGATTATTTTGCATTGATTTTTATGTTCTGAATGTGTAAACGAAATTTTTAACCTTTTGAATCTCAAAACTAACTTTGAAAAAAATAAAAGTTGTAATGATTGTTTTTTTTAATGTTACAATCCCTTTGAGAGAATTCACCGTTTATTTATAATTTTCATTATTATACTGATAAAATTTTTATAGTAGAATTTTATCGGCTGAAATGAACTGTTTTGCTATTTTCAATGTGTTCTGTCGTTTGCTTTTTCGATCAATCTAAAATATTAGAAATAACAAGGCATTGTTTTTTCTCTTGTTAGTAAAATCTTTTTTGCAATAATAAAAAGATTCTATTTGAAAACACAATTAATTTAATGTTAATCATTGTCTATTCAATTAGATTGAGTCGATGTCAGAGAAGTTTCTCGATGTAGATCGGTTTTTTCAAGGAAATCAAGTTGACTAAGTAGACTCTGTTGAACGATCGTAATCAAATCATTTGCCTATGAAACATAATATAATACTAATAGACTGTATAGACTTTCATCTCATATTCTTACATTAGCAGATGAAGAGAGATTTTCTAAATGATAAATCCATACTGCACCATCATTTGTTCCAACTAAGAGACACTACGCGAAAAAGAAAAACAATGATTCTATGTTTATTTTTATTCCTATGAACTTACATCAGAATCTGTAGCATAAGCAATTGATGTTAAAGTACGTTGATTTGTACTATTAGCAATACAAATTGGATCAAGTCTGAAATTCATATAAATCATATACAAATAAGAAAAAAAGAAGAAATATTGTACGTGCTCTTAGATAAATCCCATATTTCAATTGTATTTTCACTAACACAACAAAACATAGTTGATGATTTAGGTGACCAAATAGCATCAAAAAATACTTTTGAATTTGATGATGAAAATATCATAGATGATCGATTATATCCAATCATCCATAATCGAACTGTCCAATCTGCACTAGCACTTAAAAATATATTTTCAGCAAATGGTGACCAATGAACTTTATAAACAGGACCTGTATGACCTATGTAAGACTCCAAATATTTTTCATTATATATTGTTGAACATCGATGAATAGGTCCTTCATCAGTACCACATAGATAACTAAACACAAAAATAATGTTATTTATTTAAATGATATAATATAATGAAAACTAACATAGTTTTATCGTTCAGACGAATATCAAAACAAAGACCACCAACAAAATTTGAAAAATATCCATTAATATTTGTTTCATCATTTGTTTTTAATATTTGACATGTCGTTTCTGATAAATGATAAGGTTTTAAACGCATCAAATCTAAATATTTTACTGATTTATTAACTAACGATACCTTATTTCTTAATTAATACAAAAACTTGTCGATCATAAAAATGCGTTAATTTTTTGTCATACAGAAGATTAAGTTAAATATCATTTTTTTTTATTAAACTCGTTTTTTTGAAGGAAAAAGATTCAATATCTCTTGGACTAAAGTCTTCCACTTCCATATATTTCGACTACCATACATGCTATAGGTCGAGTAATTTGTGTGCACATACTCCACTAAAAATGTATATCTGAGACACGAGCTTACCTCAATAGTTTACGTGGAATGAGAATTATGATGGATCGCACCTTTTTATCCTTTTAAATTCATAACTATGAAAAAGAACTTTATGGATTGGTCCATTCTTCATTATTGAGTGATTTATTTTGGTTATCTACCGTATTCATTTCATCGAAGTACATCGACGTTTCCTAGAATTGTAGCCATTGTTCATGATCATTAAGGTGAAGAAAAACTATTTGCTGACTTTTGAAGATCATCATTCAGTCATAGTTCTGTGAATTGAGCTTAAACTTGTACATGAGCTTTGTCAGTAGTTAAAGTTCCATGAAAGAATTTTCCATTAACTAAAAATACCATTCGAATAATCATCATATTGGTATAGAGAACTCACAAATATGCAGAAATAGCAAACTTCGATTAAATAATCTGATTTTCTGATTAAAAAAAAAGGAACATAGGCTAGACTTTATTTGTATACTACAGTATCAAGGATTAATCATGTACTGGATAACAGGTAACGAAAGATTTATTAGATAATCTTTTTCAGATTAAAAGCTTGGAACAAAGATAAATGCCTTTCATCATAATTCCCGTTGTATTTAAGCAATCGAGACGACCCGGTGCTTCTGAACCATTTTCAGATCTCCAGCATGTATAGTAGT